AACTCTTTTAGACACTGAAATTATAGATACTAACCATAGCATTATCATAATTCAGTCGGATTATATACAAAATCTTGCACATAACCTCACAAAGGATTAATACTCAGAGATGAATCCAGCATTCCGCTTTGGCTAGTAGTGTCCTGAAAGTAGGGACGTACACATTATACGCAAATAAAAACTCTAAGGATGAACGAAAACCATTATCTTCGCACTCTCTATTGCTTCCTTGAGCCCGAAAAACTTCTCAACAATTCCTAGAGCAAACTCCATGGAAGTTCCTGCTCCTTTGCCGGTGATGAGGTTGCCATCAATCACTACCCTTTTCTCGATTTCACTTCTATCTGACAGCTTGTCGGACACTGGGGGGAACGCTGTGGCCTTTTTGCCCTGGATTGAAAGGAAAATAAAATAAGTTCTTGTGATGAGTTTGTACAATGCAAGAAGCATAATGATTAGTTCTCATAACATTTTATAGGGGATACCTTGAGTAAGCCATGGGGTTCCAAAACTAGAGCTGGGGATGCACATATCGCTCCATAAGGTCTCTGTGAATCCCTCTGCTTTTTTAACATATTCACGAGCTTTTCTGATTTTGCAAATGTTGGGGCACTATCAAGTCCACCCTGAAAGAAAAAAAACAAAGAATACGGTTAGGCTGATGAATTGGTAAATAGTAATGGCTAAACAGCAGCGAGCTGGATTGAAACCCGACTTACAGGCAAAACAATTAGGTCATATGAAAGTTTGGCAGCTTCGTCAAGGAGCACATCTGCCTCCAGTTTAACTTTGCAAGAAGCAACAATTTCTAGTTGATCCTCTACAGAGGCCACCACAACATTTGCTTTCGCTCGTCGTAGAATATCAATGATCATAACAGCTTCCATTTCCTCTGTGCCATTTGCAATAGGTACAAGAATCTAAAGGATAACACACACGAAAGAGTTTATACACTACATTATATAGCACCTTAAGTCAAGTCAATAATTCTTACTGTCATGTCACAAATTATCGTTGCTCATTTGTGAAATTTTTACCACCACTCTAAATTCAAAGGTAACTTGTGGAAACCTGAAATAATCCTAGGCAAATTTGCATGTGTATATCACTAGTACCAAGTAGAGCACTCCAGTATAGCTACTTCTTTTTTCCCCTTTTTTGGGCTTCCCCCATCTGAATGCAACTTGCGCTAAAGCTATTTAAAGCTGCCTAACACAAGTAGACAAAGTAATCCACACACAATATTGTTTTCAAATATTGTCCTTCGCTAAAAAATGAACCAACACAAGCCCAAAAAATTAAAGTAACAGTAAGGCAATGCCCCAATAAGAAATATACAATAAAATCAAATGTTTACCTTTGGGGAATCATTGGGAGTCCACTCAACTGGGTTTAGTTCAGTTATGATGTATTCATTCCTGTGGTTGGAACGCATGACCTGAGTATAAAAAATACAGTTACACACGCATCACAAGCCTTGAATCAAAGGTAACAGGTGAAAGCGAGATCATAGCAGATCATATTTATTTTCATTTTCCCAGACAACGACTAGCTTTGAAATCAATTGAAAAGAAATCCACCAGTAGAATATGAAAACCAGCCAAAAAGAAGGATATTGAGAAAGTATATACCAGGAACTCAGATAGTTCATCAGCTTTTTCTTTCCCATACAATTGCTCAACCAGCGCAACAGCAAACTCCATGGCAGTACCCGGTCCACGACTAGTCACAGCTTTGCCATCCACCTGAACTCTTGATTCAACAGCGATTGCGCTAGATGCTAATTGCTCCATAAATAATGGATGGCCAGTTGCCTGTCAAAAACCAATGCAATTTATAATTTTACTATGCATACATAACAAATAATGAAATATTGGCAGGTGCGTGCTAAGAGATCTTACTTTCAGTCCTTTCAACACACCCCATGGTCCAAATGCCATTGCAGGTGAAGCACAGATCGCCGCATAGAGCTTCCCTTCTGCGGCCTGCTTCTTCACCAAGCTTTCCAGAACCTCATTATTCTTAAGATTGGTAGCACCTTTAACACCTCCCTATAGAACAAAAAAAATAGATAAATTCAAATTCAGTTGGAGCTAAACTAAAGAGGAGTCAGCACATTGCAGTAAGCAAGCAATAAAGCACAATAAGAGAAGCTGGAGAGAGGGAATAATACAAGCAAACGAAGATAAAAAGAGTTCCTCCAACCCTGATATGTTATGGATGACATCAAAATTACACGAAAACATCCCTTTAATTGGCAGTTGAGGGTGCATTGGGACATTGCTCTGAAAATAAAATAGTGCCATTAAGCAACATATGTAATCTTATGCATACACTCAACAAAACTAAATACAAGTTAGCGAACTACAAACTCACTTTTATCTGCTCTCAATGGCGAACTACAAATTCAAAAATCCCAAGTTTGTTCCACAATATTCGTGTGTTTTCTTGTTTTGTGGAGAAGTAATAAGTAATATTAGCACAAATTGTCATTTTCATGTCTACTTTTGTGAGCAACCAAACAAGCTGCAAAATTCAAAGTTCTAATACAAACACAATGATACATGCATATATATATATATATATATATATATATATATA